TGTTTGCTGTCTTTTAAGTTGGTTTGACCTCAATACAACAACTTCCTGTCTTTGAAATCATTTCTGCGTTACAGCCCTCAAACCAGCTTGAAAAAGATGAACATTCTTAGTGGATTACCTGCAACCAGTAGAAGTGCAGATACATGTCAGCCAGATATACTTTTTGGTGTCACCAAGACTTACATGACAATACTCACTGATTTAATATGACTCATGTAGCTTATTTGTTTGCTTTAATGTTTTTGTTTCACACGGGGACATGCGGGAACCAATGGCATTCATCACATATTTGAAGCGATTACAAGTTTGAGGTCAGTAAGATTTTTATTTTATTTTTTAAAAGAAATTAATAATTTAGTCAGCATTAATTTGATTAAAAATGAAAGTTAAGACAATGTTAGAAAATATTTCTATTTTAAATAAATGCTGATTTTTTTAAAAACTTACTGTTCATCAAGGAATTCTGAAATCATGATTTCCACAAAAATATGAAGCAGCACAACTGTTTTCATCATTTATAATAATCAGAATGATTCTTGCAAATCAGCATATTAGAATGATTTCTGAAGGATCATGTGACACTGAAGACTGGAGCAATTATGTTGAAAATTCAGCTTTACATCACAGGAATAAATTACATTTTTAAATATATTCAAATAGAAAACAACTGTTTTAAATGTTAAAAAATATTTCACAATATAACTGTTTTAGTGTATTTGTGACCCCGTCTGTGAAATCCAGGCTAAAGTCTCATCAGAATCTAATGATGAGATAACAAGCATTAAAATTTTATTTCATTAATTTCACTGTGATTTCAATCTTTGACATGGCCTTACTCAGTCAGTATTAAAGAAATCAAGGTTACATTTCTACACAATGTTCTTTACCTTATGAGGATGATTTTATGTACTGTTTTAAATGTTAAAAAATATTTCACAATATAACTGTTTTAGTGTATTTGTGACCCCGTCTGTGAAATCCAGGCTAAAGTCTCAGAATCTAATGATGAGATAACAAGCATTAAAATTTTATTTCATTAATTTCACTGTGATTTCAATCTTTGACATGGCCTTACTCAGTCAATATTAAAGAAATCAAGGTTACATTTCTACACAATGTTCTTTACCTTATGAGGATGATTTTATGTAAAAAAACAGTACATCACAAAAAAATGGCTTTAGCTGGGTTTTCACAGCCAGTGTCACATTTTTGATCATATAAATGCATCCTAATTTACTTCTTTTAAAAAAAATTTTTACAAAATCTTATCCTCGGTAGTGTAAATGTGACACAAATTGAAATAATGAAAGTCATATGGGTTGACATGATTTATATTTTTTGGGTGAACCCTATAACCCCAGTTTGCTGCAGTGCATCACAAGTTGCTTTGAATAAACGTGTCTGCGCTGAACAACATAGATTTGTTACAACACATTTAAACCTTTTTAGAATGAGAACATTTGGGAAACAATCCAATCACTTTGGGTGACAACTGTCCTACATGCAGCGAGGTGATCGTGTCTGTGCGTCCTCTGGGTCAATTTGATTGACAGCCCCAGTGTCCCGCCTCTGTTTCTCTGCCCCCTCGGCTGAGTTTTCCAGGGACATGACCGGAGGGCGGAGGCGTGCTGTCTCGGTGACGGGTGAACTGCGGCGACCGCATCAGGGCTGACTGCACCGTGCCAAATTCACACTCTGTATAATTAATGACAGGAGACAGCAGACATTGCAAATTTAATCAGCTCCTTCACGTTATTTAATTTAGTCCCTAACTTAATACAGAAAAGACAGACGCCCCCTCCCTGTACCTCTCATTACACGTTTAATGACTGATTGAAGCTGAGTGTCGAATATAAAAACGCTTAGTGAGAAAATACACATGAACAGTGAACTTTTAGATCGGTTCTAAGAACTGGACACATATGTGTGAGAGATCTTGACTCAAACAGCATGATCTGTCTCCAAGTAATAGGTTTTGCCGGTCTTACCCTGATCACATTAAATCTGGTGATGTTTTCTTACAGTGCAGTAATCCTAGATAATCCCAGGAGTTTGGCCAGAGTGAGATTTATTCCCGTGAGAGGAGAGAGAGAGAGAGAGAGTGCAGGAGGACGAAGAACGAGGGTTTGAAATGGCATTCTCATAGTTTTACAGTTTGTATTCAGATATGCAAAATGCATATGCAAAACATGCATGTAATACTGTATACCTACAAAGCAATGCACTAACCACTAAAAGTTAAGACATTTTCATTGGATTAAATTTTTTTTTTTTAAGTAATAGCGTTAGTAAGCATAGTGCGTACTACATTAATAAATATTATGCAGTACATACTGTGCAGCAATACATTAACATTCCATCCCAAATATTGCCTTCATCTTCTAGTGCCGCTTTGGTTCACTTAATGTGAACATCATCCTGTGCAGAGTCTGTCGTCAAATGACATCTCATCCTGCTTTCAGCCCTGACAGCAAATAAACTCGTTCTCAATGTCAGTTCTCCATCTGTCAGATTTCTGGAGCCATTTATACACTGCAGAGGCAAGCTGTTTCTTCTTCCTAGTCTCCAAATTGAAAGCTGTTCAGTGTCATTTTAAGGGCTTTAAAGAGACTCTAGAATTCCTCAGAATCAACGGTGACATAGATATACCTTTCTCTGTCAGTCTCAGGAAGGTTGGCACAAGTTTCTTCATTGACCTTTTAGTTCATCTAAAAATAAAAAACTGCTAAAAATGTACTCATCCTCAGGCCATCCAAGATGCAGATGAGTTTGTTTCTTCATCAGAACAGATTTGGAGAAATTAAGCATTAAATCACTTGCTCACCATTGGAGTGAATGGGTGCCGTCAAAATGAAAGTCCAAACAGCTGATAAAAACATCACAATAATCCAGAAGTTATCCACACCACTCCAGTCCATCAATTAACATCTTGTGACGCCAAAAGATTAATTCCTTCATTAAGATGCTTTTAATTTCAAACAAGTCCTCTACCCATAATATTGCTTTCTTCACGTGAAAAAGTCATCTTGTCTGAATCGGGAGAGAAATATGCACAGATCAAGCAACATTTACAAGCGAAAACAGTCCGGACAACAGGGGATAGACTTTTTCACTGGAGGAAGCGTTATTATGGATTCGTCTTTTGGCCAAAAGCGACGGCACCCATTCACTGCAGAGGATCCATTGGTGAGCAAGTGATGTAATGCTACATTTCTGCAAATCTGATGAAGAAACAAACTCATCTACATCTTGGATGGCCTGAGAGTGAGTACATTTTCAGCAATTTTTCATTTTCGGGTGAACTATTACTTTAATTTTGTAGTTTATAGTTATAAATTGTGGTGCAAGAAATTGCTCTTCCTGTCATTCCAATTCACAACATCTGAATCAAGTGCATTCCAGTTCACATGCATGAATTGAAGGGTTCCAACTCTTCAGTTCTGAATTTTGCCCAAACCATTATAAACCCATCTGCACTTGAAGCAAACAACCTTAAACCATGTAAAAGTGTTTCCACGTTTATCTTGCCCCTCAGGCCGCAGCAACCGTCTTTTTACAGTCATTATTCAAAATTGCCAAATGAATTCTAATAACAAAAAAACACCCTGCCGTATTCTGGCTCCATTCTGAGTGAAGTGAGCACTCGTACTTCTAAAGAGTGCTGAATAATTGGCATCGTCAGGGCTCGCTGGAGATCTACACCACATACGGCCCTCAAAAGATGAGAAAGAACAGCTTCTGTTTCCTCTTCAAAAACACAGAGAAGTTTGATAAATGACCCACGGCCAGCTCAGCTTTGGTCAGTTTGTTGTACAGTAGTCATTCAGAATTCAAAAGAAACTTTATCTTCATTACGACTGACATCTTTTTTGCACTTCAATCATATTCAGTGTGTGTGACTCATACACAGGTATCCCTTTGTTCCTAGTGAGCATACACATTCTTTATGAGCCGTTCACCCACAGGGAAGACAAGCAAGTGCGCCGTGCCCTTGGATTAAACGCTGAATTTCAAGACCCAAGGGCACCTGAGCTCCTACAGTAATCACATGTATTACGTGACCTCTCTGCAGTATACCAAGGATGTAGTTTTGTATTGAACATCGACACATTTCAACCATTATATGTAATTATACATAAATACAGAAAATTGATGGTGAAGTCAATTAGACAATCTCCAAATATGGTGGTCTGGAAATGTGTCGCTCGTTCTCACTGACTATTCACTACATGGTCAATGTCATATTTTACTATACGAGTGAGCAAAAATGAGGACACATCTAAAGACATTACTGCACACTTTGTTTTATTGCTGCCTGTCTAACATGAAAAACTGGTCATGGTTGATTACATTAGCTTGCCCTCAGGTGCTGTTCTGCATGTAAACCAGTGGATGGCACTATGAGTAGCTAATCATATACACAACATCCATTTCCACCAGCCTCTTGCCAAGCACTTTTAGGTTTTTGCTTTGTTTTCTCCTTTTAACTGATCAAAATAGAGCTCTTTAGTCATGAAGTCAATTCGCAACCTAATTCGCCATGGCTTCCCGCGGGAATTTCCATTGGTTTTTGGTTTTGATAGCGGCTTTTGATTTATGAGTAAAATCAGGTCTGGGACAATACTTGAAGAGCCTTTCACGTTTTGTTCTACATCATAATTTGCATACAATCATATTTCAAAGTTAAAGATTAAAATAAGCATTGCAACTGACTTATCAAGTAGAAAAACTTGTATCCTGTGGCAATAATTTATTTAGCTACTCAAAAACACAGTAGCTTCAGAAATTATGCTTGTGTGTGTGTGTATATATATATTAGTATGTACTAAGATGCGGTGGTTCAAAAGTAATGTGATTCCTAAATTAGCAATCATCTCAACACACCGGGATCCAGATGTGCTCATGCGCATTACGCACCCACACGCTGTGATTTTTGACTTTCCCGGGCCAAAAAAAATCCCGAATCCTGTGAGAATCCACGCCTGCTTTTTCACGGACCAATGCCCACTACAATCCTCTCCAGCACCACACGCCGTGTGCTTATGTTGGATATTACACTGCGGTTCCGTTAAATCTGTTGAACGCGTCTTTCTCCGCGCGTCCAGAAACACGCCGGTCGGTCTGAAGCGCGTCGGAACCCATTTGCAGCCGCTGCCTTTGTGGGTCGGCTGTGGATTGACTTAATGCCTCCTTTAAAAGCCCTCTTCGGGGTTTTAAGTTCAAGAAAACACCCGGAACCTTCGCCTTCTCGCCTTTGACTCTTACAGGAGAATTAAATGTTTATTTTGTGGCACCGGTGGAGCGCGAGATCTTGCCGGTTGCGGACGATGCTCAGCGTTTTTGTATAAAACACCTTGTCGGTAAAACTTTACCTCAGAAAACACAGTGGATAACTTGTGCGTTTCCCCGAGATTATTTTGTGTATTTTTTTTTTTTACCTTAGAAAGTGATGGCGGAGCGGGGGGCACGGCTGCTTGTTTTTTTCGCAAGTCTCATCGTTCTCCGGTTCGGCGGTGCGGATAAAGGTAAGTTCCGTCTCTCTCGTTCGTTGCGGTGGACGCGTTTACGGGCGCAGCGCGGCATCGCCAAATCCAACGATAACGTTCAGCAATTATTAATCTTCCATTTAATCTTCCGTTTCTACCAGCTCATTGTACCAACCCTAATTCTTACCCTGATGTTTACCATTCTGCCCTGCACAGCCTAGTTACTGTGGTTATGTTTTGTGGTTTAGTGGTTACATCTGGGTTGGTAGAAGCTTGAAGGTTTAAATTCTGCAAAGGGTCATACATTGTCTTGCTATTTAGTGACTGATAACTAGGTGATCACCCCAGGTTGCTTTGACTATCATGTGTATTGTGAACTTAATTTTTTTTGAGAGAGAATAAGCCATTACAGATTTGGAGGTTTTGTTGGTAAGTAGGCATTGGAAAGAAGAGCACTTGTAGAAAGCCACCACTGCCCCTCATCCATTCATCCATCCATCCATCCGTTCCAGAACAAGGGGATGGGGAAACTCTTGACTGAACCTAAAAGAAGAGCTGAGGTTAATGATTGATTGTTGATGGTAATGACAGGGTCAGGTTCAGACATTGGGGAACATTTACTGTTGGGAATGATGAAAGGGAATTTTCTGGCTGACTCAAATGAAGATCAGTTCCCTCAGCTGCTGCCACTGAGATTGCTCTGAGGAGAATTTGTAAAATGACACCTTAGTCACACCAAACAGGTCTTGACCGGAGAGATTTGTGCTGTTTTTGTTCATTATTTGGCTGAAATTGACATAATTTTCTTTAGACGGTGACATATGTTGAAAAAAGGAGATAAAAATAATTTTTTCCTCCTTTTGCATAGGAATCGGATGTATTTATTGTTCCAAATAATGGTTGTAGGGATGTTTGAGAGTCAATTGCTTTTTTAAAGCTAAATTGCATATGTTGAGTCTTTCTCTTTTCTGTGTTTTAAAGTATTCTAGATAGGACTTGAATGGTGCTTTGTACATGTGGCCAGTTTCGAGTTACTAATCATGGCGTCCCTCTGAAAATAAGTTTTTGTTTATTTGAAACACATTTCCCTGAGGTTTCAGACGCACAGATTTTAAAGCCAAGCCACAAGTCCTCTCTTAAAGATAGTCTGCTCGTAAACTGACTATTCACAATGCTTTATAGAGTTTCGTAGATTTATCAGTGGAAAAAAGTCAAGTCAAACCGAATTAGCCTATGCGTTTGTGGCACAAAGCTAGTTTATTTCAATTTGGATTAAAAAGAGCTTTAGGGCTGTTATACAGGATACATTCTTGCATTCAGAAATGGATAGATGAAGTGGAAGAGAATACAGGAGTCTTGAGATGTGTTTTTAAAAAATTGAACTTGTTTTTAACGCCGTACAGTTTCTTAAGCCAGACATCCGCTTTCAAAGATAGTCTACTTGTTGGATATTCAGAGTCTTTTCACAAAATGCTTTATAGGGATTTGCAAAGTAGTTTTTCTGTTTAGGCTTGATGGAAAATCCTTGTGAAGTTTTGTCTAACAGAATGAACCTTTCACTTGTTTGGTTTTATGGTTTTAGTTTAGATTTGACACTCAACGGTTTATCAGAATCATCACTTACGGACTTGTTTTGTTCACACTTCTGTTTCTCAGTAGCTAAATATACTTGCTGTTAGTAATCTTATTGACAGCTCAGTTGAAACGGTGCCTTGATATAAAAAGTGTGCTTGATTCAAATAAAATTTAGTTTGAAAGATTTGGTGCATTAAATAATTGCTATGCAAACCTTTGAATCAAACTACATTACGATTACGAATACACTAAATGCTGCTTTTCATTGCATTGAAATAAATGTGATGCATGCACATATAGATTTCCATTTAGGACACATGTCAATGATACTTAAAATTTGCAACATTGATTTCTGTGCACGTAATGTCAGTAAGTGATTTTTCAGTCTTCCAATGTACAGCAACTCTCAAAGTACAACAGACGTTCTAATGTTCTTGTGTTAAATTCCAACACCAATGCATCATAGAAGTCTGTAAAAGGTTTATCAGATGAAAACCAGTTTGCCATCTCTCATGCCACTTTGAGAATGGCAGGGGCTGGTCACAAGTGTCATGCTTTCGTAATTGCTTTTGGCACAGCAGGTAAACGGCACAAATGGAGACATCTGTAGCTATCTCCATCTCTCATTAGCTGTGTGTGTGTGGTTGGGGTGAGGCGATGGGGGTCTGTGGTCTTGAAAGCAAGCTTAATCCTCATCGATGTCAGGCTGAATGATTGAATGACATTTTAGCGCATCCAGCTGACCCCCTCCCGTTGCTGCTACTAGTGGGATATCAACAGCCCGATCTCATTCACAAGGCTCGAGGGTAAATTTGTGAATCTCTACGCTCACTCTCATACTCTCTTGGTCTGGCGCTTTGAGAGAATGATGCGCGAAGCCATTTTCTTGCTGCCTGCAGCTGGTTGAGAAGAGGAAACCAACACAAAGACAAACACATTCATCCTGTCCTATCTGTGCTCTTGTCTAAGTGAGACTGACAGTGGGCAACAGAGTGTTTGGTTTCTCCCCTTGGCTGCTTATCAGTTTGTGGAGTTTTCACCTTCTAGATCGCCTATGGCTGATTGATGCTATGTGTACTTGTAGATGTAGTTGTGAAGTGTGTCAGTTTGTGGTTGGATGGAAAGATGCTCGACTGAACCTATTAAATGTGGAGCCTTGGAATTGTTAGATTTGAGTCAAGTGAGAGTTAAACTGTCAGCTTGAAAAAATTCTATAATAAAGCTTTGCAGGGAGATTATTGAATTCATCTTTTTTTTAGGAGTTGTCCACAGATTTCTGACATTAAAACAGCTTGAACCACTAGAACATTTCTTTATGTGTGCTGTAAGCATTCTTTCTTTTCCACAGATTTTTGCAGTTAAAACAGCTTTACTTAAAGGTGGGGTAAGCGATTTTTCAAAAATGCTTTAGAAAACAGATTCGGGCCGAATAGTAAAATAAACTTGTAGCCAATCAGCAGTAAGGGGCGTGTCTACTCATGATGTGGACAGTCTTAGGGAGTGTTCTAGGTTATTATATGCAGAGTTTTTAGGTCCTATAATTAACACCTCTGTTTTTTCAGAAATTTAATACCAAGGTTGTGCAGCATTCAAGCAAATTTTAACTAGAAAAGTAAGATTTAAGTTTGAAAAATGTTTAACCCTGATGTTTGAAGGTTTTATGGACAAGTAAATATAATTTAAGTGCCACATATAGAAATTTAGTTTATACATTTCTTCATATTTTTTAAACGAATTTTGTGGACTGTGGTGGAACAACACTTCATTTCCCAGAATGCATTGCCTGTGATGGACTTCTTCCTGTCATTCAAATTCAACTTGCAGCCAAATTGATTCAATTGAAAGGAGCTAATTCTTCATTTCCAATGAGTTTTGCCCAACCCTGGTACAAACTGTCATTTTATATAAGGCCACGTTCACACAGCAGCAGAATACGGTTGTCAGTCCTGTATTTGAGTCCTTAATACGGTTACGTTCACACACAGTTCGGTTATTTACGGGTGTGACAACCGCATTCTGTAACCAAACTCACACCTGTAAATTTTCAGGAATCACAACCGCATTCTCGGAACACACGCGCTGTGTGAACGGAACCGGACTGGACAACTAGTTGTCTGTCACGTCATACAGTGCGAGAGAGAGCCGCTTTGCGCACAAACGCGTGTCTACCGTGTGTTACGTGTTTTCATATGTGTTTTCGGTATCTTACAGTGATGGAGAAATGAGCTGCGTGTCATCTGAATGTTTTAGATCCCGTCAGTTTTCCACCGTAGCCGCTCCCGTCAGTTTTGTGTTCTGCGCGCGATTCAAATAGTCCGCTCTCCACCAAACTTTAAAAGCTGCTGTTGGTTAATGAAGATTTGACAAAAGAACTCGCGGCTCGATTGGACTCTTGTCGTGTCAGAAAGTGATATGACTTTCAGTTTTATGCACGTTGCCATCTTTGATTTTACTTTGGTCACTGTCACTATGGTTACTAGTAAGGAATACGGGCTTGACTCCCGTTGGAGCGTAGCGTACTATATATTTTTGATGTGAGATCTTTTTAAAAACATTGGTTATTTTATATATATATATATATATATATTGCTTCCTTGCAAGCACAAAACTATAATCTCTTTCAAAAATCTGGTTGTTCTAGAGGTCTAAAAGTTAATTTTGCAAATGCTTTTTAGCCTGGAACGCGTGTTGAAACCCTGCGGTTTGGTTTTGTGGAGCCACTGAGATCCATGTGTGTGGAAAGGATGGAAAATTCCAGCAGGAGAGTTGCTGTTTGCAGTAGGAAGACGTATTTGTCCTTCTCAATATAGCGTTTGACTAGGCAGACCCTCACCCTCAGCCTCTCACTGGGAAAGGTCACCTCCCTGAAAGACGGGGTCACTCTTGATTTCTCCTTCTGCGGTCTTGGTGAATAGAGAACTCTTGCTGGTTGTTATTGCTTCTCCAACACCTCTCTTGGCTTTTTTGGAGCTTGCTTATAAAGAATGTTTAGATTGAGGACGGTTGTTGTGAAGGCATCATTTTAATGAGGTCAGGAGAGAGCTTGCTGAGAGGAGCCCAGTGTTTGACCCTTGCTGTGAGGGTTTAGATGCATGGCTTTTGTATGGATTGAAGGTCTTGACAGCTGTCTGTGAGAACCTGAACAAGACATAAACCATCTCTAGTTGTATAGTTCAAATCATCATCCAAAAATCCAATACACTGCTCTTTCCACATTGTTAAAGTTGATCCTATGGATTGATGTGTCTGGTACACGACCTAGATGTTCAACTTTTTTGTTCCACACCGACTGCATTATCCTGATTATTTGATGATTTGTCCTTACAAACTCAGCATCTGTTCTATGTCGAATAGCGATCACTCCTGTTCACCCCCTTCTGTAAGTGCTGTGGTTTTCCCATTGGGTTAAGCAGGAGGCTATGAATAATGGAAGAGAACCTTTGCTGTCTCTAAAACGGTGATTA